GAAACATGGCATGTACTCTCTCATATATGGATTTTAGACATAGATCTGGGGAGTGCCAGCCTACAATCCTATGGCCAGAGAGTCTGGGAAACAGAAACTTTATTTAGTGGCTGATCGAAGAAGAGGCAGACTCCCTTGGTTAAGTACTGAGCTGAACTCAAGAAAGCCAGTAACAGAGAGGGAGGACTGATGATCAAAGGAATTAAGACTGGGCTGGTTTAACCCCCAGAAACAGCTGACCAGACAAAGGTTAACTCTTGAATCCCAGGCATTAGCCTGGGAAGCCAGCATGGGACTGATCAAGACCCCCTGAATCTGGGTGTCAGTGAAGAGGCCTAGGGAATCTATTGAGCCTTGGGCAGCAGATCAGTACCCATCCCAAGTTTACACACGGACTTTGGACTCCAATAGAACAATGTGAGGAGCACTCTCACCCAGAACTCTTGGGAAAGGGTCTAGGCCCTGCCCTATATGAAATGACACACTATGGACACCCCCATGGAGGGCCTCACCCTCCCTGGAGAAATGAGAGGATAACGGGGGGGGGGGAGGGCACGGGAGGAAGGGAGGGAATGGGAGAGGGACCTGGAACTGACTTGTGAAGCAACCTTGATTCTTATCTAAATTTAAACTGGAAAATAAAATTTAAAAAAAAATATGACTGTTGGAGTGAGAGAGATGGTTCAGTGGTTAAGTGCCCACTGGCTGCTCTTCCAGACGATGAGGGTTCAATTCCCATTACCTCATGGTGACTCACAACCTCTTCTGGCTTGGAAGGCACGGCAAGCACTCAATGCACAGATATACGTCCCAGCAAAACAGCCATACACATAAAATAATGGAAAACAATGACCGTCAAAAGTAAAAATGACACACTGTGCTGACAAAATTGTGAAATGGATGATTTCAGAAAATAAATGCAATAAAAGATAAAATGAGAGCAAAGGGATTCTTAATGCATGAGAAGAAGGTATATAACTATCACCTTTCAAAGAGGTGGGGGGGACAAAAACATAGAGAAGAAAATAGTCAAAGAAAAACTTCCATGAATTGAAGAAAACAGTTCTTGGTATTAAAGGAAGCAAACACCACTAAACATAAGGAGACACATCCTGACACAATAATTTATTTTAAAAATTAAAGTTCCAATGGAAAATAAAACGGACCACCTCCACCAAGAGAAAAAAAAAAGTGGACTGGGTTTGATATTAGAATTATTCTCCAACATTGACACCCAAGGGTCTTGAGACAAACCCTGCCAAGAGCAAAGGGCTCTGAGAACAGAGTGCTCTACTAAATGACTAATCTGGAATTGGAGGGCGGGGCTCAGACACTGTGGTTCCCATCTGGCACTTTTTGAAAGTTATTAGAGAACACAACCAACACAGTGATTAAGTTGCTCAAGAACGACGATGTGAGCCAGGCGGTGGTGGTGCACGCCTTTAATCCCAGCACTCGGGAGGCAGGCGGATCTCTGTGAGTTTTAGGCCGGGCTGGTCGGGCAGCCTCCAAAACAATACAGAGAAACCCTGTCTCGTAAAAAAAAAAAAAGAAAGAAAGAAAAAAGAACGATGGTGTGGAATCCAAAGCAAGGAAGCAAACCAGGTGCATGTCGTTATTGTCTCGCCAGGCGGCCTTGCTAGGGCAGTGCAGAGGCCCATAAAGATGGCTCTGCTTCACTTTGGCTGAAGGCGAGAGTTCAAAGCTGTCCTTAGTAAGTCATAAAACCTAAAGGTATAAGACGTGGCTACTGTAGGATGTTTTGATCTTGGTAGAGGATGTCTTATCTAAATAACAACAAACTTGGTCTGAGGTGTGGTTACTTTTGACCCTAAAGGCCAGATAACAGAAAACTGAGTCTAAGGTATGGTTATCAAAGGTTTGGAGGTTTAAGGGAAGAAAGACTGTTTGTTCCTTATATATAAGTCTTTTGTCATTTTCCCTTTTGGTTGGGGTACTTAGGAATGTTGAAGAATAAACTTGGGCATTCAGAATTTACTGATTGCCCTCCTGACTCTATCCTGTGTCTCTTTTCCTTAGCATCTTTTCCTGCCATTTCTCAATCCACACTCCCCCTCTCAGGTAGGAACCAGGCAAAGATCAGACTGAAGGCCCACAAAGACGGACTACAACAGGGCAGCTTCATATTAGTGCTAACTGCAACAGGAATCCCAAGTCCGCAAGAAAAGGTGTTTTCGAGAACTAAGAAAAATTACAATCATTAAACCTGGTGATTAAGCAAGAAATCGTGAGGGCTAGTGTGATTCTTCTGTTAAAATAGTTAAAAAGAAGAAATCTGAAATTAAGTTGTAGAAGAACGTTTCAACATAAGCATACGATAAAAAAATTCTGAAATCATTTAAAACAAAATTTAAGTAAGGTTGGCATCATAGTAAAGAAAAGGGGCTTTACCCATTCATGTATAGTCTCTGCAACTGAAACTCATTTTCTTTTCTAAAAAAATATTTATTCTGGTGTTCTTGAGACAGGGTCTCTCTATTATGTAGCTCTGGCTGCCTTGGAATTCTCTTTGTATACCAATCTGGCTTCTGAAAATTCAGAGATCCACTTGTCTCTTAAGTGCTGGGATTAAGGGCCTGTGCCATCATCCTGGCCTTTTTATTTTTATTTTTTTTCTTTTTAATTCTAACAGCACCACTTGGTTTATAGTGGCAATAGCAAAATTACGAAGCATAGTGGTTTACATCTGTTATCCCAGCACTCTGGAGGCTGCAGAAGGAATGACTGTTACCAGCTGCAGCTGAGCCTGGGCTACCTACATACAGTGTGAGAGAGCCTGTCAACCCTACCTAACACTTGACACATGCATCAGTTGACCTCAGTCTATGCTATTCTAATAAAGCCACATTCCTGGATAAGGCAGTTTAACCCTTCCAGTGACAGCACAACGATCCTTGCTCTTAAACACAGGGCATCGCCACATCTCCTCATTAATTTCCAATCCTCGGCACCAACCGACCCATCTACAAGAGGTCACTTGTGGAAAACAGAACATGAACACATGAAAGTTAACATAGAAACAAACACAGGGTAAAGAAAGGGAGAGGTGGTGTGTGCATTCTTTTTAGTAATCTTTTAAAGAGCAATTTTCCTTAATAGGGTAATAATGAACCCTCTGCAAAATAGAAGTCAATATTGCTTCTATAATTTGAAATGAGGACATAAAATCAGCAGGGAAGAAATAGGTAATGAGTATAGACTAAATTCTTCATATTTTATACCAGGTGCATTTGTTAATTTTATGCATTTACAGCAGGTGTCAATAGATATGAATTTTTACAGATTATATATAATGTATGTGGTAACTATCAGAAAAATTGAAAGCAGACAAGCTAAAGTGGGTGCAGTAAGAAATAGCAATAAAGCAAATTATTAGGCATCTTGGGCGGTGTCGGGAAAGTTAACAAAGGAGAGAAGTTGCAAATGGAAGATGTAGCATACTTTACACTGTTTTTGAAATTATCAGAGAAGTCCACAGTATTAGTAATAGAAATACACTCCAAAGCGAAGGACAAGCAGAGGCAGGTACCTCTCACTTCTGGTTTAATGAAAGACAGTAATGCCAGCTGACCAACAAACCCAGACGTTTAAATAACCACTGAACCATGCTGTCTCAGTTAGGGTTTCTATTGCTGTGAACAGACACCACGACCACGGGAACTCTTACAAAGGAAAAGCATTTCACTGGAGTGGCTTACAATTTTAGACGTTTAGTCCATTATCACCACGATGCCACATGGTGGCATGGAGGCAGACACGGTGCTGGAGCTCAGAGTCCTGCATCTTGATAGGCAGGCAACAGCTGCTCTGAGACCCCGGACATGGCTTGAGCATCTATGAGACCTCAAAGCCCGCCTCCACTAACACACTCCCCCAACAGGACACACCTACTCCAACAAAGTCACACCTCTTAACAGTGCCACTGGTTTGGGGCGGGGTGTATGGGATATTTTCTTTTTTTAATTCAGTTTTCCACCCTGCTCGTTTCCATCAAAGAAAAGGCTGCCTCAATCTACCCTGTGTTGTGGGCAAACCCGCTGCCACCACTTTGCAGGACATTCCCGACTGAAATGTTGAAATGTTCAGTGGCTACAGTTTGGCTTCTCCGAATCTGCTGTATAGAAACACTCCCCAATGCTGGAAAGAAAACTGCACCAGGATTCCAAGAATCTCTAAAAGTAAAAGGAACCTGCATGCACAGAGACAGGTGCGCAGTATTTTTTTCACTTAAAAAATAAAACACACCCAGATGCAATAAGACGGAGCTGCACTAATAATATTGTTACCAAAAAATATATAAATATTCAAAATGATATATTGCACAATATCTGTTCAAAAAGTTACACATACGCATGTATGCTTATGGTGCTGCATGGCAGAAACGCTGTTTTCGCTCATATAATTTTTATTATAGTATTTTCTTCAAACAATGTCTCACGCTGCAGCCTATGGGGCTGGAAACTCCCAGAAATCCTCCTGCCTCGGCTTCCCAAAACTGGCATTAGATGTGTGCCATCACACCTGGTTGCTTATTTTTACTGTTATAATCATGTCTTTACAACCAGTATTACTCTCCACGTATTTTAAGAAATCAAGCCATGTATGTCTCTTTCTCTGGCATCTGGGCGAGCTGTCGTTGGGGGAGGAGCTTGCTATTTGCCACTGGTTCGGTCTCAAAAATCTAAGGGAAAATTCCCCGCAGGGAGCGGCCCTTTGGAGCCTGGGATTGGCGACTTTCGCGTGGGTTGGAGACCAGGGGCGGAGTGGAGGCCGAGAGAACCACAAGGGCCGGCTCTCAGTCAGGCCAGGGGCGGCGAGCCGCGTGCGGGAACGCGGTGCGGCGGGGCGGGGCGAGGCCAAGGTGGCCAGGCCCCGGGGGCGAGCGGTGACCCGCAGAGGGGGGTGCGGGCCCCGAGGCGGCCGCCTGGGCGCACCGGGGAGCCGCGGGGTGCGGGTCCCGAGGCCCGCGTGCGCAGTACCTTCCCAGCGCAGCTCGCCTCCGGGCTCGCGCTGCAGGAACTTGTACCAGAAGGTGTCTACGCGGCCGGTGTCCTCGCGGCCGGGCTCCGTCCCGCCGGCCGCCGCCGCCTCGTTGTCGGGCGCCAGCTCCACCTCGGCGAGCCACAGGCCGGGCTCCTGCAGCGCCAGCGCGGCCGCCCCGGCCGCGGTACCCGCGGGCCGGAGACGCACGGCCCCGCGCGGCTCCCAGCGCCCCAGCTCCGGCCGCGACCCGGCGAGCAGCAGCTCGGGCCGCGCCCCGGCCACCGCGGGCGGCACCACCACGCCGAAGCGGAACAGCATGGCAGGAGCCCGAGCGCCGCCGGTCCTGGGCGTCTGGGCGAGCGGCGGTGCGAGCCCCGGGGCCGCGCGGACACGTGGGGTGCCGCGCGTTTGTGGTCGGGTCACGCGGCCGCCACTGTGTGTTCCCCGTGCACCCGGGAGCTGCGGCCGCGGGAAGCGGGCATTCGGGGCCTGCGAGAGGCCACCGCGGAGCCGGGAGCGAGGGAAATGGCCCTCGACGTTGTCCTGTCGTCTTTCTGAAGACTGGAAGGTGCCTTGGCTCGGTCACCAAGGAGGAGAGAGCATCCAGACTGAGCTCCCAACCTCACCCCCAGTGAAGTTGAGGAAAGATCCAGGACTTTCCTGTAGCTCCCAGCAGCCCCACATTTAGTCTCTGTGGGTATAAGTGGGGATAATGCGGATGGATAATGGTCTCTAGAGATGTTCCTCTCCAAAGGCAAAACTCAGATTCATCAAACACACAGAGTACTTTACCTAGCCTAGGGAAACTAAAGAGCAAACAAACTCCTGTTTGTAGCCTATGGAAAACGATCTTCCCAAAATCAAAACAAAACCTTGATTGTGAGGTGATAAACATTTAAGTTTAGAAACAAGGTCTCAACTCTCAAGGTGGAGACCAGACTGGCCTCAAACTTACTATAGGCCCAGAACCTGGCTACATCTGTGCCTGTGTGTGTGTGTGTGTGTGTGTGTGTGTGTGTGTGTGTGTGTGTGTGTGTGTGTGTGTGTGTGTGTGTGTGTGTGTGTGTGTGTGTTTACAAACCTACTTGGGAATCGGGGAGGGAGATTACAGGCCCAGAGCCTTGCCACTTCCAGTGGGGTGGGTGAATGTGTCATTAAAAACCTGCTATTTAAAATTTGCTTCTTGTAAATATTAGCACTGGTTTTTCATCATACAGCATCTTTGGATCAAGAAACAGCTTTGTCATTATTTTGCCAAAAGAAAAATCTACATCTTTCCAGGAAGAGAGGGGGACACTTCAGTTTGTTATTGATAAGGATAAAGAAATGTTCTGTTTCTATTCACTGTTCTTAGTTGCTTTGTAGTATTACTTTGGCATTCTGGCATTCTTAATATATTCACCAACATTTAACCTGATACACATCCCCTAAATGAGGTAAAAATCACAAGAAGCACAGTTGTCAATATTTGGAAGCTGGCGTAGGAGAAAACCAGAATTTTATGCATTCAGGAAAATATGTAGGAAAGTAGGAAAAGTGCAAAACACACAAAACTCAGTTTGCATAACAGTTAGTAAACAAATACAGCATGTCACTCGTAAACAGTGACGTTCCACTCAGAGTTTGCTTGGTTGCTGCGTGTAAGGATAAACATGAAAATGTGAAGCCAGTAAGGTTGGCCAAAAATGACTGATTCAGAAACAAAACAGAAGGGAGCAGAGAGTGGCAAACGGGTCAGTTTATGTAAGTCTCCTTTTACAAAGTATTCTGGGAATGAATTTAAGAAGATAATGGCCTTTTGGCCATGCAAAGAGGACTACTTATTCTGGAACCCAGACTTCAGTGATTTATTTCTTCCAGAAGCAGACTCTAGCTCTTCAGCAAACTTGTGTGTGGCGCTGCCTGCCTTGTGTATTTTTGGTTTTCCAGTGGAATTCTCTCTGGGCCTCCAGAATGAGCCCTGTCCTCTCAGAGGTGAAATAATGGCAGAAAGAAAACAGCATGTTGGTCCAAAGGACTTTGACTTTTTCTTCTTTCTCATCATAAAGATAATAAACATTTTAACCATCGAAAGACCTGCCCTTCTCAACCACTAAACAAAATATGTGATTGTTTATTTTAAGCATAGACCTAAGTATGATGAAAATGTGACGGTTACATTGTGTACCAGGCAAAGTGCAAGTGGAAAACAGACTACCAAAATGTGGATTAAGCCACATACCTCACGGCCTCAATCAAATTTTGACTCTCAATCATTTGGCTATATCAACCGTAGTAATGAAAGGCCCCTACCCAGGACCCCCTAGGAAAAGAAAAGCAAGGCCAGGCCGCTGCCTAATGAAAAAACCCAGACCAGGTGCCCCGCCCAGCTGGCAGGATGTCAAACAGGATCTGTGGTTACCAGAGCAGTCATGGGACCCGGATAATAATTGCTGAAGCATGCCAGGGTCTTTTATGTGGCAATACCAGGACACCTAGTCCTTGGCAACTACCCTTGCCCCCAGTTGTGTCTATGATCACCATACTAGTCATGGGACCCGGATAATAATTGCTGAAGCGTGCCGGGGTCTTTCATAAAGTAATACCAGGAAACTTAGTCCATGGGAACTACCCCTGCCCTCAAGATGAGCCAATGAAATGCCTGTTACTTATGTAACCATTAAAACTCCATAAATATTGTGCTCCCTGCAAGCCCGGTATGCTCTGCACCCGAGTTGCAGCAGCATCTGCAGGCGCCTGTGTACTCAATAAATCACCTCTTACATTTGCAGCAAGTGGTCTGGCCCCGGTTCTTGGGCAGAGGGTTCGGTTCAGTGCCCGGCGCTTTGATGCCGAGGTCTTTCAGTAATAGCCACTGAAAAGTTACTGAAGAGACAGTTTTTCTTCTTAGTCAATCTCATTTGACTCTCTCAACAGTCCTTGGAGATAACTACAGAATTATCCCCATTTTCAGACGCAGGGAAACTGAGGTACAGGAGGGGTCAGTCCAGAGGAAGCAAAGGGAAAAGTCACATGCTAAAAAAAACAAACATTCATTTTGTTAACCATTAAGTATGCAAAGACAGGTAGGTGTATCTTTTGGTAGGAAATTTTTATAGGGAATGTATATAAATCCATGTGTATTTTTCAATTTTATTACATTTAGTGTGTGTGTGTGTGTGTGTGTGTGTGTGTGTGGAGAGAGAGAGAGAGAGAGAGTACCGTTTTCAGGGGTTCCAGGAAGTGAAGTTAAGCTTGGCAGCAAGCACTTTTACCTACTGAAGAATCTCAGCCTTCTAAACATATTCAAATATTACTCTTCATCTTTTAATAAAACATCCACACCTCATAATTTCCTATAACTAATTAGATAAATCTGAGATGAAAGTTCAAAGTATCAGTGAGTCTGTACACACAAACATTTTGATATTTAGGGAGGATTTGACTTTAAATTACAGGAAATAAAGGTTTTATGCTCTTTATACACTTGTTTTGTGTATGATTTTTTTTTGCTATTGTTGTTTATTTAGACAGCATCTCATATAGTCCAAACTGGTCTCAAACTCAGCATGTGACCCAAATTACCTTAAATTCCTTTGACCCAACCTCCCATATTCTGGGATCACAGGCTTGAACTACCACACCCAGGTTGTGCATTTGTTTTGTTAATAATAGAAACACCAACTTAAGAAGCCACAATAGAGTATTCAGTGTTTAAACTGCATTACACCCAGGTCTTTTTCTTTCTTGGATTTTCTTCCTTTCTTTTGTTTGTTTGTTTTTTGAGAGACGGTTTCTCTGTGTCACTGTCCTGGCTGTCCTGGAGCTCACTGTGTAGACCATTCTGGCCTTGAACTCACAGAGATCCTCTAGTGTCTGCCTCCCAAGTGCTGGGATTAAAGGCTTGCACCACCACCATACTCTTTTTTGGATATTCTTTGTCAAACTTCCCTTTCTATGACAAAGAGTGTTAGTACTTATTCAAAGGGATTATTTATAAATCCATCTGCAGTCAGAGTTTAAACACAGCTCAGTGGAGAAACATAATTCTGGGGACCATTTTTAAAAGGCCAATCCATTTTTTGTCATTGAATTCCATTTCTATAATGGCATCTTTTGGATAACTATAATATTTCTTGGAGAACTGGTAATAAATTCAAACCTACAAGTTTCAGGATCCAATTTAAATATGCATTCCTTCAAAGTCCCCTTGGGGAAAGCCATTTCCTGATTCTGCTGTAATTTATGTTTCTGACTGTGTTTCACTAGTCAGGAAGCTGTTAGTCTTCCCTTGTGATAGTGTGTGTATAGATGCATGCTTGCTGATAGAAGTCACAGTTTAAGTATCAGTTTGTTACTTCAAAGAACATATATAAAAGCCAAATGATTTTATGCCTTAAAGAGCAGAACCCAGGGGGCAGGGGGAGGAGGGGATGGAGAGGGAGCTGGGATTGACAAGTGAAGCAAGCTTGTTTCTAATTTAAATAAAAAAAAAGAACAGAACCTAGAGAATGTTTGATACAGAATTATCAAGAAGTGAGGGTTAGTTAATCATAGGTAATTTTTTTTTTCTGGACGGTGGGTTAGGTGCTTGGAAACCCCTCGGGAGATGTGGGACCACAGAGGAGACCTTCCTTCCTCCCCTTCTCAGGAAGTCAGCACCAGTCTCTTTGTATGTTCCTTTCCCTTATTTATACAGCATTCCTTATTTACGTCTATATCCTTCATTTATCCTGTTAAAAATGCTTATTTAAAAGCTATCCCCCAGGGGCTGAAGAGATGGTTCATTGGTTAAGGGCATAACCCTGCCTGTGCAAGGATCAGAGTTCAGTTTCCAGCACCCACCATTGCCTATAACTCCAGCGCTAGAGGATTCAACAGCATCTTCCTCCGGCCTGTTCAGAGAGCTGTACACACTTCCACACGGACCCGCATGCATGCGCATAATTACAAACAAAAGAAAGATCCCCGTATATAATCACAGGGCAGCATCTGCCATTTCAAAGATACGGGGCTGCACTTTCCCTGCCCATGCCAAGCCACCATCATCACTGCAAAGCCACACCCCCACCCGCAGCTGAGAAGCCTTATGTGGCCCCCATTAAGGCTGTAACCTAGAGGGACTCTGCCAGCAGAGAGTGAGGGCCAAGGAGGTTAGACTGTGGGTTAGAGACAATTTAAACCTTCCTTCAGGTGTAAAAACATTCCAAGTCTGCAGTAAAGTGATTGGCAGCTGACTAATGCCTTTGTTTTCTTTAAAACACTGTGAAGTTCCTGGAAGGGATGTTCTTACAAGCGCTTGAGAAGATTTAGAGCAACAAAGATGAAGGTTGGTGAAAGAGACCATGTATGAGACAACCCCAGCAAAAAAATACGTGTA